AAAGACAAGGAGGGTGTGCAAGGTCATCTGGTCTTCTATCCTTCTTTTATATTTATGTCTCTTTTTTCGAGAAAAAGCACTGTAGGGATGGAGATATGTTTCTCTGCTTGCTCCAAGGATTTTGATAGAGAAGAGAAATTTACAGCCCACATGTCTTTATGCACACAGACAGGCCCTATTCACTGTCAGGTGAGCGCTTTCAGTACCAACAAGCCTTCATCTTAAGACTCAAGTTCAATATATTTATGCTAAGGCAACTGGAACTCTCCAGTTTCTGGATATTACAGATGCGTGTGAGTACTGAAATGATATACTGATTGTCAACATCATCTATTTAGCCACTGTCGTTCTAAATTGCCATATTTCTGATCCTGTTGCAGAAGATCATGGCAGAGGCGTGGAATAAGGAAGTATCTGCATTTTGGCAGAATTTGGAGCTTGCGGTTCAGAGTGCAAAGTGCTTTTTTTGTGTGGCTTATCTTTGATCATCTAACACTGTGATGCCTTCATAAAACCAATAGGCACAATAGTAAGTGCCAGAATCCCTGGGTGTCAAATAATCTATCGTGAGATTATAGAGGGGCTCTGTTGGATGTTGCTGAACTTGAAATCTCCATGTACCACTGCTGTCATCAAAAACAGGCGACTGTCCTGACACGTAGAGGATCCTTTTCGGTGGCTCTCCAGGACGCTGCTTGTACCAGTGCACGACGGTTTTAGCACTCAGTTGGCACGCCATGCTGGCAGAGCTGCCACTAACCTGAAACTGCACCTCTGGGGTTTGCAATGGCACTGCCTGTGTGTCTCCACCTGGAAAGGGAAGCAGAGAAATTGAGTGAGGGGAAGAAACCTCCGGAGTCTGGAGCCAGGACTGTGCTCTCTGGACACAGGAAGGAGAAGGGAGTGGAAACGGGGCTTACGGGACCACAATGAAGTTGCAAGAAGGACTAGAAGCAGCAACATGCTGCCTGTGAGGATTAAACCTGGAAATGAAATAGAGACAGGAACTTCAGGTGGGGAAGCTCTTCAGGTGGGTAAAGCATCAAATGACTGGGAGGAGGATGTGACTCATTTGGCACATCCAATGGTCGTTCTCCAACCTACTACCACGGTGGGTGTTAAATTTACTGACAAGCTAAACCACAGCAGTACGAGTGTAGAAGAGACCTCAAACGCGTAATGTGAAACAATTTTTCTTCATCTATCTATTCCTCTCAGACTGACCAGCTGAGCACACACATAAAAACTCAAGTTGTTCCCGTCCCGAGGATATTCTCCTTCTCAGACACCCCAAAGCTGTCCCAGGAGCACCTTTCACCAGCCTTTTGTAGGACACACTGCCTGCTTTGGTAGCACAAATGGGATAGGTCGTAGTGAACTATCATCTCTTACGCTTCCTTAAAACAGCTCCAGACTCTCTGGTCAGCCTTATCCACCTGCCCCGGACAAGGTGAAGTGAAGCCAGGGTAAAGCAGTCATGTCTCTCGGCCAGCTGTTTGCTGCCCTCTGCTCTTTCTTGCACTTTCCCTCATTTCAGAACCCTGAAAATGTGCCCTGCAAAGACACAAAGGCAAATGGTCACTTGGGCAGCAGACACCACACACCACGCTCTTCCCTGAGAAAGATTTCTCATTTTCTCATCCAAAAGAGAGAATTCACTCTGGAGCTTTTTGCGTCTCTGTCAATAGCGATGTACATAACTAAATCTCATCTCACAACTTCTCTTGTCCTTGTGATAGACACGTGGATTTGTATCTGCTTTAGTTTGCAGCTTTCTGTTGTAAATGGTCCTGTAGTGTAGGCATCTGCAATGAAAGAACAACAACAAAAAATCATAAGCATGGAGTTTACTGACTTGGAGACTTTGTTTTTATTAAAAGTCCACTTAAGTGTGAAAGCCAGAGAGGAAGGTATCTTCTAAGGCCAAACTAAAGCTGCAAGAAGAACGTGCAGCAATGATGTTTTCAGACAAGACGTCTTGGGCCTGTAGAATTCTGTAATTTATAGAGAGCCTGTAGAGTACTACATTCTCATTCATACGTAATGAACCTCAGATGAGGGATGCATTGCCATCAAGGAGAGGAAATGATGCGCTCGAGGTGCGTGAAATATTTACGTGGATATGGGGTTGAGAATACCATTGCACATAAGTCAAATTTCCCTGTGGCTCTGCTCCCAGCTCTCTGGCTGGGCAGTGCTGTGTTGCCATTTCCACATGGTCCCTGCTTTAGTTTGCAGCTTTCTGTTGTACATGGTCTTCACAATCCTTTCTTGGGGCCATCTTTTCAGGTGTTGCCCAGTGTAACAGATCCTTGCCTATAACAAGGGGTCCCAAGTGGCAGTGGTGTTCTGAGCAGTCATCACCAACATGGAGGGGAACAGATTTAGATTGGAGATTAGGAGAGGGTTCTTCACTGTGAGGGTGGTGGAGCACTGGAACAGGTTGCCCAGGGAGGTGGTTGAGGCCCCATCCCTGGAGATATTCAAGGTGAGGCTCGATGAGGCCTTGGGCAACCTGGTCTAGTTGGGGGTGTCCCTGCTGACTGTGGGGAGGTCGGACTAGATGACCTTTGGAGGTCCCTTTTGGCCTGGGCAATTCTATGATTCTATGAACATCACCAGTAAGACAGGAGCCAGTGGAGTATCACCATTATTGCCATCGTGACCTGGGCTTGAAGTCTCCCAGGCTAGATCTTCAGTGCAAATAGTTTCCTCCTATGCTGCGTTGGAGAAAGTTACCGATATCCTTCACAAACAATCTGTGTTACTGAATAATTCCAGTGTAATGCCGTCACCCAGGGGAGTGCTCCTTTTCCCCAGCCCAGCACATGACACCAGCTGAGTTGTAGCATGCTGCGTTTCTTTGCTGTTCTCTGTGTCCATTCTTTATATTTCCTTACTCAGCAGAAGTTTTAGAGGCAGGAAGGTGCAATTGTGGTTCTCTGCATTTGGCAGAAAGCCTGGCGCTCAGGGTACAGGCAGCTTTCTGTACAGGCTGCCTGTGGTCTCCTAGTTCTGTGGGATTCCCAGTACGCACAGTAGTAGGTGCCTTCATCATTGCTGTTGGCGTCACTGACTGACAAAATGCAGACACTTGTACCTTGCTTCCAAGAAGTGTACTTATTCCTATAGGAGTTATCATCATAAGTAGGTTGTCCTGATCCGATGTACAGTATCCGTTGGGGAGCTTTGGAGGGCATATGTTGGTACCAGTGTATATATGCAGACTGGAATCCAGGTATGCCCTCGGCTACACACTCAATCCATGCAGTTTTAGTTGTCTGTACGGTAATAGAAGGTCAACTCTGCTTCAGAAGCACTTGTGCTTGTCCATCTAGAAAGAAGGAGAGGAAACAGAACAAACACTCTTAGCCTGCTGTTCATTCACACTCATACATACGGGGTGCCTCCTGCCACTGCCCCTTGCTGTGCTGTGGTGACAAGGGGAACCTACGAAACCAGGCAGCAGCCAGGACCGAGAGCAGGAGCAGCAACATCTGGAAGGCTCTTGCTGTCCTCTGCCTCTGGGAGGAAGGCGACAGCTCTCTCGGCAGGGATGCAGGGCTGCAGCTGAGCAAAGGAAATGACTCACTGGGGCACCACGTGAAGAGGCTGCCCCGGCAGCAAAAGCAACATGAACCCTGCTAAAGGTCAGCAACCTTTGCAACTTGTTTGCAATGTAATTTTATACTCTAAAGACAATTTTACCATTGCTTTTAGACTAGCTGAAGGCTGCAAAACAATGCTGGGGGTCAGACACTTTTCCTCGGGTCCACTGCCAATCAAAGGGAAAAAAAATATCAGAAGCTTAAGGAATCGGAGGGTTCTCTACTGCCCTTCACACAGGCTGAGTGCCAAATGCCAGGAAAATACACAGTAGCCATTGAGGAGCTCAGAAGTAGTATTGCTGCTCTTGTGACTGCTTCTTGTGCCAGGTAAGGTGAGATGTTACACCCCAGACATGAACCCTGCTGAAGGTCAGCAACCTGGTTATGGCTTTTACACAAGTGGCAGAAACTCAAGTGCCAGGTAAGGTGAGATGTTACACCCCAGGATGGCATCTCCAAATGCTGGGTCTGATGCAAAGAAACACAAATGCTTTAGAGCTCCCCTAGGCTCAGTTTAAAATAAAGACTAATAGGGCAAGCAAAATATAGAAATTCATCTGTGCAATTCCAAGTCATTCTTCAGAGGCAAGGCTGCTGCTGATTGCTTTGGAAAGAGTGAAGTAAGAGCTCTGCTGGTTCTGGCTGCAGCACGGGTCTGCAGAGCGTGCACTAGTCCAGCAGCACCTTTGGTATCTGGCTGCCTGCACACTGTGTCTGATGCAAGGCTGGTGGGGAAGGTCGGCTGGGGATGTTCCTGTGTGTTGCCAAACGCTTCAGGAGCTGGTTCAGGAAGCAGAGCACGTCTTTGTGCGGGTCCCCTATGGCTTTCCACTGCTGTGCATCCCACCTGGCACAGTAGTAGGTAGCGGAGTCTTGCAGAGTTATTTTGCTCACCATCAGAGTGCAGACAGATTTGGCGGGGTCTTTCTCGATACTGAATTTCCCCTCATTGAACTGGTTTTCAAGGAAGAGCTTGGAGGATATGTAGGCAATGCGCTTGGGAGCTGCGTTGGGCCTTTTTCGGTACCAGTGAATGAAAACGTTGTTAAAATCTGGATCAGAGATGTGGCAGGTGATCAGCACAGTTTTGCTTTCTGGCTTGGTGACGGATATGGGGCTTTGCTGCAAGAGCAGTGCAGAACCACCTGTGTGAAGGGAAGAGAAGAATCAGAGGCACGAAGCTGAAATAAGAGAGTGTCCCCTTTGCCCATGGCCTACGTGCAGGCAGTGGGTGAGCAGGGCACATACAAGAACACCCAGTTGCCCGATCTCCCCCCCAAGCGGTTTGCTTAGATAATGAGCAAAGCGCCACTTTTCTTCTTCCTTTTTTTCCCCCCCCCAACATACGATTTATATGTGCTAGCTTTTAAGGTCAGTTCTTCATATCTGGATTTTTAAGGTACATCTGATATCAGAGGATGGAAGAGAAGAGATGCCCCTTGACAGCAGGCAAAACCACTGTGATCTGGGAGCATTTCTGGGAAATGGCTGCTGTGTGTTTGTGTGGTCTCCTCTAGGCACCTGCTGTTGCCTGCTGCTGGAGGCAGAGCCCTGGGCTGCACCTAGCAAGGAGGGGTGTAGGGTTAAACTTTGACTCTACCTCACGCTGGTGGTGCGAGTCCCTTCTGCCGTTCCTGACAGGTGAGTCATCTGAAGCAGCGCTTGTCTGCTCTTTTTCACAACTTGCCACCCTGAGGAGTTCCTGCAGGTGAGCCCAGCCTGGCAACCAGGACCCTGGAGCCAGGTGAGGTTTCCAGCCCATGGGAGCACAGGGGAGGTTTCTCTGTCAGCTGCCCAACGGTTTCTTAAGGAAGTGCAGTCCCAGGAAGCTCAAGAATAGGTATTTTATCTGTAATTTATGCAATCCGTATTTATATTTAAATATAATGTAATTTATATTCATTTGTATTTGTATTACTTTGTATTACTTTGTATTACTTTGCATTTGTATTACTTTATCTGTAAGATTTTTCATAAAACTAAGGATCCCCTGATTGCACGTACAGAACGTGCTTTGGGAATTGTGTGGATTTGTGTTGGTGCCAGTGGGAGAAGGTTTTCAGAAGGTCTGACCCAGGAAAATGGCAGCTGATCTGTGCAGTCATTTGCATGGCTCTGCTGGTGGAATCTTTGTGCATGGCTTTCTACAACGAAAGCAGAGAACCAGCGCTGTGGTGACAGCAGTGACCAGCCCCCTGGGGGTCACAGACTGGGACTCTCCCAAGCCCCTGCAACTCACATCTACAGTAAAGGGCTGACGCAGCCAGAAGCACCTGCAGCAGCACCATGTGTGCTGCAAATGTCGAGCCTGCCTCCTTGAACCAGCCAGGAGCAGTCTGTCCCCAGCAGGAGGGAGCAGGCACCTCAAGAGGAGAAATGAGTGACTCGAGTACCCATCACCCAGTGGCCGCTCCTCTAAATGCCTCCAGCTTTTTGGGGCCACAAGAGATCTCCTCTGCCCCCTTATGAAAATTCCTACAAGTGATGGTACCTTGCAAACGGACACCACCATCCACAGCAACTCCAGAAATTAAGCCCTGTGTGAGCAGCAACAGTTTCTCTTTAAGGAAACGGCCTCGTGACCAGCAACAGGGACTGTGCCACAGTGATAGGCAAGATGCTTCAGCAGTTCATTGCCCCACTCTTCCAGATTTATGCCTGATTTGTAGCCTGCGTTCCCCTGGCTTCATTTCTGCCTGCATACATCTTTATTGTAGTAGCGAGAGCCCTGTTCTCCGAGATTTATTCCCCAGATACAGTACTGGACAGAGTACCATCAGCTTCTTTCCTTAAGTCTCTTTATTGACTGAGGTATCGGAGGTTCCAAATGGAGGATGATTTTTCATCCTGTGACAATACCTCCAAAGGTCTCCTTTTAACAATTGGTGAGCCTTGAATGCCAAATGCAATCAGGTGACATAGTTTCTACCTGAAATCCCTGTTCCTACAGTCAGTTTGTGAAGTTACCTGGTACACAACGGAAGCTCCGGTGTTTTCAAACCTTTTCTGATTGCTGCAGTAATTAAAAACCCCACAATTATGCATCAAAGGTATGCCTGTCCAGCAAACGTCTTCCACTACCTGGCCCAACAGGCTGGTTCCCACATGACCGAGATGGGATTTCTCTCTGCCTGTCAGGTGCCGTGGTCTTTGTACTTGGCCATTACCCATGGTTTCGGTACTTTACATATTTTAAGCAAGCTAGAACCTATGTTTTGCTCTCGAGTTTAAATGGCACTTACATGACATCTGCAGGACATCAGTAGGAATATGCTCATTTTGTGTTCTTCTTGTGTTCTTAACCCTGTAAGAGATCTGTTGTAAGAACATGTTTTCCCTGTGTCTCCTAGGGTTTACTATCTGCTTTTCTAATCCAAAGGGTCTACACTTCCCAAGCCAGATGCTGCACATGGGCCTAAGTATTTTTATATCAGCTGGCTTCAATCAAACAAGACATTTATAAAAAAAGGTCAGTACTGAGCTCTGATCTGCTGATGAACAACCCTGTCTCCTGGCTATCCCCCTTCTCTACTGCTTCCTCACCCAGCCCATCTGAAAATTACGCCGTACCATGACAGTTTACTGATCCTGATACTCCTGGGGTTCTTTTTCTAAAAAGTAGGAATCAGTTGCATACGGAAGATATAATTTTCCCAGCACTCCGTAGAAGGTGCAAGAAGCAACATGGTTTGGAAGAAAAAATAGGGACAGCTTCAACGTAGACCCTGGTCCACTCTTCAGCTCTTGCTGGAAGGTGTAGACAAATGCCAGGTAAACCAGGGAGTGGAGTTCTTTGCAATTCAGCGTCTGAAAAACACCCACCCTCTGAGTCAAATAATGATTGTTTTTCCTTAGATCTTTGCTTTATAAAACTAATATGCAATGAAGTCTTGAATGCTTTGTTCAGAAAACCGAAATCTATATAGCCCTGACATACATCAGAAGCACTGGCGTTCTCTGTGTCTAATCAATTTTGTTAAAAAATATTTTCAGACAAGGACCCCTTTCTGGTGAATCTCCCGAAGTGCTGTGCATTCTTCAGCTGTGGCAGGAAATATGGCAAGCCTTTTCTTCTCCGACCAAGAAGAGCAAGTGACCTCAACCTTAGGAGCCCTTGCTGGCACAGCAAATCCAGGCTGTCGTTCCAGACAACGTCCTGATCTTGCAGGAAGTCAAGCTGTACTTCATCATTTCCCTTTGCTGTGGTTTGGCCTCGGACGGCAACAAAGGACCAGGGGGCAGCCGCCAGCCGTGCTCTCGCTCTCGGGCCGGGCTGGTGGGTTGAGACAAAGGCAGTTTCCCAGAACAGCAAAGGGAACAAGGAAAGAACAACAGGAACACTGAGGGAGGAACATATAACTGCGATTGTGATACCACTGCCCGCCAACCAGACCCGGGACCTCCCAGTCTGCGACCTCCCTCCCCCGGCAGCTCCCGCTCCGGTACCCCTGAGTATGGCTCCCATGGGATGGGAGACCTGTGTCCCTGCTGGAGCCTGGGGAG